GGGCCCTTTACAGGTCCCATCAGTCAACCGTGACCATGGGACCTGTAAAGGGCCCGAAACGTCGGTTTGTTTGAAAAAACAAATATACGCGATTTAAATCCGGAAAAATAGTTTCATTTCCTATGTGTAACAATCGCGAAAACCTAAGAACTCGATTTCTAAAAAAAGTTAGTTAAATTGATTTTCGTACAATTATGCTTACTGACTTTATACAAACAGTAAAGCGACCGCAACACCTGACGAAGATAACAATTATACTAAAACTTTAGTTGGTAAACTATATGCTTTTGTGTAGATCTGGCTGGGAGCCGGGAACAACGCGGCTCGGCATTCGAGCTTTATAGAAAACCTCAGCACATGCATAACATAAGGTAAGCCCATCTCCATGACACACCGCTATAATTAGTCTCCTCGCTGCTCTTTTTTCAACATATAAGTAAATCCCAAATTTCATTTTCTTAAATCCGATATCGTATATGATGATTAAATATACTCTCAATTAAAACTGCATGTTCCCAAAGTCTCTCAATTTTTTTCTCGCAGATTTGTTCCTCTTATTATATTACATATAGCCCCTGTACAATTTGCTCTAACATGCAAACACCAATCGCTTCACAAACGACTAACAATGTCTTGTTGGGCCACAGTATTAGTTATGGTTTTTGTATGTGGTTATAAACAATTTTATATATTTTGTAACATATATCTCTATATCGGGGCGTGAGTCTGTAAATTGTAATATTTCGATAACATTTAGCAATTTAGAGTTGTTTGCCAAGAAACAACTATTGGCAGTGCGTGTCTGCATTTTAGTGCAACTTGATGACTTTATATGAAAGCATATTGAATTAAGTTGTTCAACTCCATTTTTGCCTCAAAGTGTCATTTACTTCACTTTCATTTCTCTGCAGTTTTTCTTGTAGTAGATATTCTTAATACCTTCCTTTCTCATTTTCAATATTTACTGGTACTACTTAAGGGTTATCACTAATCTGATTTGGCTTCAAAAATCGTTATGGAAAAAATCCTCATCTACAACTTCGTGACATTTATTTCAATATGCTTTTTACACAGTCACTAAATTCATCTCTCTCGATATTGTTATTCACATTTGGATATTCCAAATTGTTCAATGTGGAGCTAGATTTGGGCTCGCTGTGAAATTGAATAATTTGCGATTTGCCTTTCCAGTCATTGAGTTACTAAGTGGGTTTGGTTGTGGGTTTCCGCAGCTCGTCTGATGTCATGAACTCCAGTGTAGAACGCGACGAGACTATCTCCCCAAAAACTAAAAAGAAATTGTCCAAAAAGCCGTCGTTCATTAAAAATGCTGTTCTCGATCTATTCCGTTCGAAAACGAAAACCTCGCAAAAAGTGTCTCGACAGAAGTCACTATGTGAAAGTGACTTGCAACAGAGACATATGGTCCCGATGCCTATGCTGAGACGCGAAAAATCCGACCTCGGAGAGATGAGCATACACATGAGAAACACGCAAATAAGGAATCAAATGTTGCAACGAAGCAACTCGTCCTCATGCGAAAAACCCGTTTTGAAACCGATTCTGAAACGACAAAGTTCATTTTGTGATGATAGGAGTGGAGCTATTTGTACCGTCAGAGATTATGACGCTAAGCCAATCCTGAAGAACCTAAAAAGACAAAATTCTATGTGTGAAATAGAAACAGAACCGAAAGTTACCCCGCTGTTGCGTAGACAGAACTCTCTTATAGAATACAATAGGAGGGGTATCTATGGACACCCATCCAGCTTTAACATGATTACTAAAATAGACCCCATTTACCAAAGGCAACAACAGTTGCAGACTGAGTCGTTCAACCCATCGCAACCATTACCTCCAGAACCTCGTTACCAAAGCAAAGAGCATATTATTTATGACCCCATACCTAAACCGAGAAGGACATACGCTTCTCTGTACGACACTTCTACCGAGAATACTTACGCTAGCAGATCGGAAATGTCCAATCAAAGCTTTGAGAATCCTTATGGAAACAGGCAGTCGGTCGGCATGCCTCATATGGAACCACCGTATGAAAGTAGAGCCGACTGCGTAAGAGAAAACCCATATGCCACAAGACACGAGTTAATATCAGAAAGTCCGTACGCTACGAAACTGGATATGAATAAACAGGTAGAATCGCTGTATAGTGAGTCACCTTATTCCAGCAAGGAGCAAATGCTAAGGCAAAGGATGATATCTGAAAGTCCTTACGCTACTAAGGAAGAAATGTTACGCCAGAGGTTCTCAGAATCACCATACACAACAAAAGAAGAAATGTTGAAACAAAGAATGGACGGTGCCTTTAATACACACAAGGAACCTCTGTATGGTAAAAGAACATATGAACCTCCTCCCAGTACGTCTTGGTCAGAGAGTCCTTACTGCGTTAGGTCTGAGAGAAGGTTACAAACGCCTGTAAACTTTCCAGGCAGAGTATCACCAATGAGCAAATGCATGAGCGAGCCTCCTTACGCCTCCAGAACAGAAATGTTGGCAAGACTTGGACAGACGGAGTCGCCATATGCTTCACGATCTGAAGTTAAGTCTAGTTGCTCAGATTCTCATTACAGCAGTCGATCGGAAATGTCTGATTTCAGGCCAGAATACAGACCACCTTCTATAGAATGTGCCTATGTATCTAAACAAGAGATATTGTCTCAAAAAGCTTCTTTCCAGGCAAGCAAAGAGTCGAGTTTGAAATTAGAGGAAAAGTTGGTAATCATTAAACAAAGAAATCAAGCTAAGAAAGAAATGATATACCAGACTAGAAAAGAAGTCAACGAAAGTGACGCTACTAAAATAAGAGAACCATTGTATGTTTCCAAAAGGGAACTAAAAGAGAGCGTTATATATGAGTCACAACAAGAAGCTAAGGAAGTAACGCAAATTTTAGTAGAAGATAGTAGCGCAAGAAGTAGCCCATACGAGCTTAGTGATGCTAACCATTTGTCACGTCAAACTAAAGCAGAAGCTGACGCTGCTATTAAAATTGACACATTCCAAGAAATAGACTTCTCGAAACTTAGGCTTACCGAATCCAAAACAGACGCAGAAAAAGAAAAGTCTATGAACGTGGAAAGTAATATACTAAAAGGCGAACCCACTTATGCCCCTAGATTGCATGGCAAAGCCGACCACATCTCTAATGCCTTGAAGGTTACCACTTCTCCTGTACCTTATGAATCTACTACCTCAATGGAAACACAGTATGCATCTGAATGCAGCATGAATTTTGAAAATAAACCTCAGAGCACACCCTATACATCCCAAGATTTAGAAGAGCGATCAAAACCGAGCAGAAGCGTTACTTTCTGTGAGCAAATAGTTGAAAGAAGTGAAGACACAAGTCCAGATACTTCTGAGAATGTATCTGCAACGCAAAATGAAACGACGGTTATCAATGATCAGAACACAGTAGTACAAGTTTCAGACTCCGACGATAATGAATCTGCTACTAAAGCGGCAGAGGTTGAACCTGATGGACCTCATACAACTTGGGGAATATTTGACAGCGAAGGTGGCGTGTTAGAGGATAGACAATGGGGCGTTTCTTTGATTATTCCACCGAAAGCAATTGCTCCAGGCATCAAGCAAAAGATCTACTTTACGGTGTCAGATCCGAGACTGAGCCAGCGCGTGGGGGGACCTCCAATCGATATGGACAACGGTAATGGCTTATATAACGACGCACGCGAATGCCCTTGTAGTGACGTAGACTGCACTTACTAATAGGCATTTAATGTTAGCGAATGGAATGGAACACGTTTTGGAATTTGCAATAATTTGGGAATTGCAACAATAAATTCTTGATTTTTGTGTGCGTAGCTCTTAGGAATGTTTGTTTTGTATACCTATGTGTACCTCTTTTGCACGAAAATTGCGTCAGCATGTGGCATTTCTTTTCTATTAGTTAAATTTCAATGTACTCAGGTTACAGCTTCCTATAATCTGGAATGTAATTGTACAGACGTTTGTTGATTCGCTCTCTTTTTGTTGTTGAACCTGAATAGTAATGTACGTATTTATACACCTCATTTCATTATTGTAATATAAACACTATCCATGTGTACAAACGCAACATACTACAACTCACAGTTACACGTATCGCATGCAAAGGAGATCTTTCCAATTTCTTTTTTCAATTTTACTGCAATAACCGTAATCTGATTAACAAAATAAAATATTTATATTTTAGTTTCTACCACACAATACACTCGTACTTAGAGATTGAGGAGCGCAGAAGGCAACGTCTCTGCTACGTACAGCCGACGATGTGATCGTATGTTTCATTTACAATACGAATTATTTCAGCAATGTAAATAAACGTGCAACATCACTTATATTTTGTCTTACATAAGTCAAAATAACTTTGTCCGACACCATATCGTTTAGTATTATATATATTGTCTGTAATTCATTTGGGATCCTAATCATCTACATTTTCTGGTGATTTCCAACGCTTCCAACTTTATTTCCATTCCGTTTGGTGTTGTTACATTTGTTGGGCATCTTTTAAGGTCGCTTGGTAACGCTTCTAACTACTTACTAGCATTGTAAATATCAGCTTTGCCTGTATAACAATCTGCATTAATGTGTTGCGATTTGTGTTTGTGTGTTTTTTGTCAATACTCAGTACACTTCTTTGTTTACCAACTTTCGACTGTCACCAAAACTTCTGAATCCCGTTAACTTCACAATTTCGCACTTGATTGGAAACAAATATGTCTATACACGATTGCAAAAGTCTAATTTCATCTTGAGAAAACATTATGGTGAAAGCAAGTTACCTTATAATACTTTTAGCATTTCAAACTGTGACATTGTGCTAAAGTACAATAGACCAACCAATCGCATTACAAGTTATTTAATAAGACAATATGTTTGAATTGTCTGCAATATCCATTAGGTTCGTTAGTCTTATCTAGACGCCAAAACAATTCTAAAATCGAAGATGCTAACAATTAAATTTTGTTTAATACTAATGGCCAAAATGTTGACATTATCTATATTAGCTGCATTCACCATAACGGTTTCTGGAATATCATTCATTATTGCAAATACATGATCTATACATTCCGTGACAGGTGAAGCGATGCTCTCTCCACTGGTAATGTGCGGGCCACAGGGTTTGGTCTTTTTGAAGCCGGTCACCCTTCGCCTGCCACACTGCGCCAACGCAGTGCCTTCTTTAGGGTTGACGATTAAGGCCACTGACACCGAGGCGCACCTCAGCACCGACTGGGACCAGATCCACCTCCCGGCAACCACCACCCTCAATACAGTTGCCGTGAAAGTAGACCACTTCTAAGCATATCTTCGACGTACTGGCAATATTTAATTGCACAAAAATTAAAGACAACCCAGGAACCTGAAATAGCACACAAATTTGTTGGATATAAGATTGTTTATAAATTTTTGATTCTATGTTAATTGTATTGAAACAGTGGATGTTAGATCAGGATTGCTTGATAAAGTAAATCTTTTATTTAAAAAAAAAGACGTCGAAGATTCACTTATTGTGGCACGTACGGAAATTTGAAATATGCGGTAGGTTTCAGTGTCCCTTTTCATTCTTTTCACAATTTATTTATCTTATTGATATATAATTGTAGCAACTGTAGTGACTATACTCTTTGTTCGGTTGTAAAAACGGAGTCTCATTTATTTTCAATTTGTATAAATGTCGTATAACGTAAATTTGTAAGGTTTACGATGTAGTTAGATTAAGATAGAGAACTTTGACTAAAGCACAATTGTATGTATTCGAACATTTTCTATTAGTTATATAATAATTCGTACCCTTGGTATTGTAAAGCTGAGTTATAAAAATAATACGAGCTACATCAGACAAATTATGTATCTGTGAAATTTTATAACTCTCCTACTAGCATAAAATTTATTATCGACTAATTTTGTTTGTAGAATCTTTAAACCTCTTATTTGATAAGTTATCGTTTTGCAGAAGAGCCTTATTACACCAAGTGTGCGATTTGACTATGCCTATTACAAAAAAAGGTCATTTCATAAAGCATGGGTATGGTGACCGTTGAGATTTGAAGTTTCTCGAAATTCGACTTATGGGACAATAATTTAAGAATAAGTTACAAACAAAATAAGAAGGATTTGATAATTTTTTTATTAATACAAAAATCACACAACAAATAAAAAATCAACAGCAAAGAAATGAAACTTGGACAATTACTTCAAAAGCGTTATGCAAAACTCAAAACAAAAGAAATCGATGCGCATTTAGAGTGTCTGCACTCGTATTGAAGCGAGATACACAATAGCCGATTCGATCGATTCTATGGTGTCAATCTGTATGGAAAAAAATCCGTTTTACGCATCAAGTACTTGGGGTAATTTATTATTATCCTTATTATTTCTGTTTCTATCTACTTAGTATACAGTAATTTTTACTTAAAATTTCAAACTCCAACAAATGTAGTTTGTTTTTGGTATATTATAACAAATTTACTAAATTTCTTTTTGTTTTTGTTGAGAGATTTGTTAAAAATCGTATGCGTACAATGTAAAAATTTGAAATGTCACGGTACCCGTCCTATGTGAAATGGACTTTAATGTATTGGCTTGTATTCGAACTTTAAATGGTAGGTATTGCATTTTTAATAATAATCTCCCACCTAAGTGATATGTATTGTTCAATTTTTACTCTCAAGTATGTGGTGCTAAATAGAAGTGAGTATACATCAAGTACGTACGTATAATACGTAATTCCCTGTGGAATCTCGAGCTTCAAATACTGATATAGTGCTCAGGACTTTTTAAAAGAATGTATAGAGAAAGAAAGAAGGATTTTTAATATGATAAGAAACACTTTACCACGTAGTTTAATCAGTTCATTCATACTAATGTTATTGTTCATTTATTGTAATATTTAATTCAATATACAATGTATTTAGAGATAAACCGTATCGGATTGTTAGAATGTTTTAAATCGAAATTATTAATTTTTGGCTTCCGTAACTTTTTAAATATTGAATTTCACGTATTTGTTAGTGTTAATGCAATAATTAAGTTTTTATTAAATGTGTTATTTTATCGACATTAGATAATAATTTTAGAGTCAACTTCAATGTATACTCTCTCGATGTGAATGATATCTGTGTATTATCATGTTTTTAGTGATAATCGAGTTTACCCTAGACTCGAGAATAAATTTTATATGTACCGAGAACGGTGTTTCATTTTGTATTTAATGTAGGTCAAAGGCGACGCGTTACCACTATAAAGGCCTATTCAGGTTTAAGAGTTATTGACTACCGCTGTGGGTAGCGAAATATACCGCGCGGTATCCCACCGTACTACGTTTCGAAATATCTTGAGATTGGATCTTCGTAAGTAACGTCTTTTAATATTCTAAACGCAGGACAAAAACTCCCGTGTGCCAATTTTGTATGTTTTGAAGAAGACTTACTTCAAAGTTCTTCGATTTTTAAATTGAGAAATAACAACGATTCAAACTCAAAAAATTATAATACTATCGAATAGTAAAAAGGAATTTAAAACACTATTTAGGAAGATTTTTAATGCTTTTCCAAAATGTAAGCGTAACTCACGAATTGAATTTTCCTTAAACTGGTCATATTTTTTTCTCTCTGTCAATTCGCGTTAGTAGCGCTCCGAAGTCATTTAAAAAATAGTTAGACATGCATACTATTTCCACAAAAAAAAACCAGCTCTTAATGCCGTGGAATTTCTGCAATATGCGTGTCTAAAGTTTTTTTAATTCACAACGCCTGAAATTTTATATTATAGCATGCTTGTTTTGTTTGTACTCGTCTTCAAGCAACTGCCTAGTCGGCACGTATTGAATTTTTTCATTGCGTCTTTTCCAAATCCGGCTTTGACTTTGTATGGGAAATTATGTCTTGCGGTTTTTTTTAGTGTTAAATTGTACAAATATGAATTAAGTATTAATTGGAGAATATTAGAATAGCATTATATACTCGATGTGTTACTTTTTACTAGGGTAGGCTATTTGCCTATAGGTAGAGGACGCCACGGATTGAAATAACGGGTTTAAACGCTTTGTTTAAAAAGTGAGGCATGTCTGTGGTTGGCTTCTTTATAGGGATTAAAACAACTACATTTTAGACTCTATAATTCCATGTAAATGAATTTAATCTCGAAATTCAGTTGAATGTTGGTTTTGTAATTTCTGCAGTGATCGGTGCTTCGACGTATTGTATTTGTATAGGTGCTCGTTCGTACGCATCTTACATATTTTGTAATAGCACACATTTGAAATACACATATACCATTACCGCACATTAGAATACATGGTTAAATGAGGTAATTTTGGTGCATTAATAATCGTATAAAGTGCATTTCAGAACGGTTTATTTGATATGATGAGAGCGTATTAGGCGTTATTACTCACGAGGGATTGTATTGCATGCATCGTGTCGCAAGTGACTTACGCGTCGCGACGCGCATTTATTTTTAACCGACTTCAAAAAAGGAGGAGGTTCTCAAATCGACTGTGTTTTTGAAATTTATATTTTTATGTTACGCGACTTAGAATAATAACGTATAGAATGATAGTTTCATATCAAACGAACTGTCACAAGTGAGACAAAAATCAAATTCATGTAGGCTAGTTTTAGTAGTACTTTAATTTTCGATTTTAGTGAATATTTAGATAAAAATACAAGTTGAAAAGCATTACTTTCTTGTGGAATGTGATGTTAGTATCTATTTTATGTTTGTCTGACGTATTTTTACACTCATTTACCGCACATTTCGTCATTTTTAGCTAAAATTCTGGAGCTGTTCGCGGTGCAAGTTGACCTTGAGCACTGAAGGCCCGCCCGCTCGTGTAGGCCCATTGGGAGCGCTTCAATTTGCCTCACTTAGCGTGTGCGGGCTAGGTTTCTATGCGTTATTATTCTAAGGTTACGCGTTTACTTTTTGCGAACCGATTTTGACGATTCTTGTTTTTTGTTGGAAAGAGGGTACCATGGTATTGCCCCCATTTAAATTAAAAAAAAATATTCCATCCCTAAGGGTGCCCTAGGGTTGAATCCGGTTTCGCGCACTTTCCGTCCAATTTCAATAAAACTTGCCAAATAGATTTTATTCCACGAAGCTCGATTTTTTTTTATAATATAGGGCTGAGCTCGCGTCGCCGCGCTGCTGCCGCTGACCCGTACCGCAACCGGATAGCGTTGATGTACGTACATTTGAACTAATATTGGTCCAGAGAAGCTTTGCATGTTGTATGGATTTCGGTTGACGTTTGGTTAATCTATACTACTGGAGTAAGTATCTACATATAACACGTACAATGTACGTATACGATAAGCCTATTACCATACCATAGAGCTGCTTATACCAAACTAGAATTCCTACTTAAATTATTTTAATTTACTGAACTATCAAAAATTTACAATTTACCGAAAGTATTAAAGTTTGAGAAATTTTTCTCATGCTATTTATAAAACTGTTAAATAGCTTTTTGACTAAATAATCTCTAACTTCATTAAAATTATTCAAATTACATTACATTTTAAACTTACACGCATTTTAATTTTTCTCTTTTCCACTGTTTTCACATCTAGTTACATTTTTACAAATAATTTTTATTAAAATCGTTTATTTTTTTCCATCCTGTAAGTAAAATTGACATGAATCTATTACCGCGTTCAAATTACTGACAATTTTATTAAATCCATGTGCGACATTATTAAAAGATATGTTACGCATAGGAAATTAAACTATTTTTTCGAATCTATTTTATTAGTATTTGTTTTTTCAAACAGACAAATGTATCGATCTACCTTTACACTACTGTCTGAAACAGCGACATCTACTAAGCAAAATAAATGACGAGCTAAGGAAGTTTTGTCTAAGTTTGAGCAAGAAATTATATCAAAATTTCAGTTTACTTCGTAATTTTTGCTTAAACTTTGGCACAGCTCGTTCTATAAACACGAAATACTTGCATATCTATCAATTTTTGTTCAGGCGAAGCTTTCGAAATCAAAGTAACGTGAGCGGTACCAAATAACGCGTTATAAAAATGCGGCGACTGTCGCTGCGTCGCCATCGTCGCACCTCGTCCGTGTTTTTATCCGCCATTATCTTTTTTAATCTGTACCTATGCGTTTTGGGAACCTGTTAACGTATGGAATTATGTAAATAAATTGATAGGTATTCATTATCCTCCAATGTAAAAGTTTATGAGATCGTGTCGCTATACGATTTTGCAATATGTATTTCTCTCACGACACTAAGACACATTAAGTAATGTACATTAAGGCTCGGCACGTGTTTGCGTACAAACTTTTATTAAAAGGTTTGTAAGTAATTTCCATTTTACAAACATCTTCCTTGTATT